CTCTGACGACTCTGGCTTCTCTGGCTCCTCTGCCTGCTCTGGCGTCACATTTTCATCTATTTTAGACAAAAATTTGCTTTGATTACTGTCATGAAATAAGGCTGCACGTACTTTTGTATCGCAAGCGTAACGGATCTTCTCGTTTTCTCACAAAAATAAAGCAATATCTACGTCAAGGTTCTATAACGCGTAATATAATTTTATTGGACATAAATCGTTTAACCACGCAAACCTCGCGCGACAAATTTCTATAAAGTCTCCTCGAGCTGACTCGAAATTTTAAACGTAGAATATTTTTTCCCGACTTGCTTTACCGACCAGGAATAAATGCCGTGGAAAGAACGCACCGTGCGCACCTTGAAGAGTGCTTAGCGCAGCGACAACGAGAATGAATAAGTACGAAAGATACTTGTTTGTCTCGCGATAAAACCGTTAGGGAAACCGGCTCGATCATGACTTTGATCGACAAAATAAGAACTTTACTATATATTTTTCCGTTCTCTTTTTTTTTACAAGAGATTTGATTGGTCCATATGCATGTGCATAAGGAAATAGACCAATCCGTTTCTTTATGCATATGGTTATGCACCTATGCGAGTTTGTCTGGGCTGCGTTTTAACGTTCACTCTAGAACTCATTGGCTGTGTAAGAGAATTTTACTATTTGGGAATTTTACTACACAAAAGGGTTACACGACAGTTTCCCGAAAAGTAGAGGGGGATAATATTGGTACCAATGAAAATCCCTAAGGGCGTCGTAATAATTTCTACGGGTTAGCAACACTGTTGAAGTGGTATAGCTGTCAGTTTGCGTAACTTTTTTGACATTTTGACATATAATGTGCACGCGTGTATAATAAATATGTTACGACTGTAATAGTTTATAAATGTAAATGTAAAATACATTGTGGCACTTAAATAAAATTAAATTAAATAAAAATGACAAAAAACAAAGTGCATACAGGATAAACGAGGTAAAAAATTATAAATAAATTATTATTAATATTATTATTATTATTATTATTATTAGTAATTAATAATTTTTAATTTTTTCAATGTTTTTCGATAAATATCACTCATATAGTTGTAGCATCGTTCTTCGCACTCTGGAATCAGTTTGCCATTATCTTCAACTGCGGAATAAAACCTGTGCAAAGATATAAGAAGCATAAACGGAGGAAGATAGAAAGAGGTAAATGAAGAATAGACAAATCTATCAGATAATTAGCTAATATTCTCATAAAATAAAAGATTATGTAAATAATTAATTTTTTTGTTTTAGCTTTCCAGCTAACCACGTGCTTGTGGAATCCCTGTTCCCTGCGGAGTAAGAGTAACGTTGCCAAATGCTAAACAAAAATTGGAATCATATCCTAACGGCGAATATCAGAGTAGATCTGTTAATAGCAATGCGCGCGACGACAGATTGACGCAACAAACCGAGAGCAGGTTCGTAAAATCGATGTTTACCGTTAATCTTTCATCGACAGACCTGCTCGATGTTCATTGACTGATGTATGTGTTTCTTATCTTTCAGCAAACAGGATTTATTGCCTACAGAATTATTTGCCTCTGCAATAATGGTTATTGGGGTTGGAGATCGGAAGTGGAAAGCTTTCCCAAAAAAATTGCGGATTGATCCTTAAAGGAAACAACGGTAGTAAGATTAAAAATCATATATTTTAAATAAACGACACAAGAGCCACCAAGAAAAATTAAAAGAATAATGTGTGCGAGGCATTAAAATGTTGGCATTAAGATGAATCATCCATTCTTCCTTTTCCAACTAATTCTGATAATGAATGTAATATTAATAATATGTTTAAATCTTGTGTTTCTTCTATTGTATTCCAAATTTTTTGTATTTTATCCTTTTTTAGTCGAAGTTTGTTGCGTTCTAATCTTGCTCAAAATTTCGAGTGCTTTAACAAACTTCTAATACTTTTCTGATGCTCAGTCAGATGAACTGTAAATAATATTGAATTGTAAAAACAGTAATATTCTGGAAAAAAGTGTTTACAATGAAGCATTCATAATATACCTAAAAATTCTACAATTCTCGAGTGTTTATTTAAGCTTTCTAGAAGTTCCCGGTTATGTCTCTCTGAAACATTGAAAAATACAGAACAAACCGGGCTTAAAGCCATTCAGCCATGTATCCCAATAATAATTAAAAAATGATTGCAAGTACTTGCAATCGTCGAAAATAATTGTATCAATTATTTTAAAGCCTTCTTCTACTAATTGTTCGGGCAAGAAAGCCAAAGGTATCAATAACTTGGTTGCACCCCAACCCAATTCTTTTTGGTCGTCTTTGAGTATCTTGTGTTTGTCAGCATTATGTACTAACGCCTATAACAAAGCAATAAAAGGAAAATTAAAATGTATTTCACGTTTATTATTATGTGCGTTGTTATCTTTTATTACTTGACTATAATGAAAGAAGCAGCCACGGACTTAAACATTGGAGAAAACCGTTTGTAGCGCTTTTCGTTCAGCTTTTTCGAAGTCCGCTATTGCTACTTCAGGAACTATTTTGACAACATCGGTAACTTTTCCTAAGACGTCTATATAATTATCGGTAGTGCGTCCTTCCATAATCGCGTAGACAATTGGAAATGTCTGAAATTTGAAAGCAATTTAATTTACTCATATATTTACGTAGAGTGCGTTTTGCAATTAAATGAAATAATTACTTCATAAATAAACTAACTGCATTGTTTTGCTTACTCTATTATTATGTCTAATTAAAATTGTCCACAATTGACAATTACTATTTTGTAATTGTGGGACCGTCGCGAACGTTTCATCCACAAAAATAGTTAATTTTTCACTTATTTCTTTTATAAGTGACTCTGTTCAATTTTTGTCGATAAAAATTACAGCTTTGGTTTCGTTATTCTTAATGACAAACTTAATATTAAATGAATCTGCTGTGTCTATCAGCAGTAATTGCTTCCAATTTTTATCTGTCAAACACCTTGATAGATCATTGAAATTTTTTGGAATCTGTCCAATACATTTTTTTTTTATAACGTTCTATCGACTTCTCAACGTTAGCAATGCTGGTGAAATCCAACAAATCATTGTATCTAAACGTAAATGTACAAATTACAAATTATAAATAGTAGCTATTTAGCAATCTTTGTAACAGCATTTACTATTTTCTATTATATCGTTTTTTACTCACTTTAAAATAATTCTTTTTTTTATTATTCTTGTTGAATCGAATGCATGCAAGGCCTCGATTTCTTTTTTAATTTCAGCCAGTTTAAATATTGATTTATCATGCTCATGTCTCCCACTTAAAGTGTAACGACCATTTTCCATTTTTAGTTTTGTTTTACATTGCACATCTTCGTTTTTGCGAAAACTACATTCATGATATCTGCGAACAAATTATTCATAATTAAATGCATTGAATACAATTCGATGTACTTCTATGCTCATTATGTAAATAAAAAAAAATTATTTTCTCAATAACTTTTGCAGAACCATAGGTATAATGATCTAAATAAGAATGTAGAAGTCTCAAAAATTAATACTATGACTCAGAAGTGTGATAGTATATACGATAATAAAATATCATTAAATTGTAAGATGTTCTTTAATTCAATTTTTCTATATTACATAATTAATTAATTTCACTTTGTTTCAGATATCTGCTCACATCGTATCTTCGTAGGATTTATTATAATGGAAATGATATCCCTCGTATTCCAATTTTGGCTGTTTGATTCTTGCAGTACTGCATTTTTTTTTTTATGCCATATCAAAAGATGCAATAACTAATAGACACAATAATTATTAGCAACGCCACTCTTGTGCAACAAATCAAATATTGCGCTTTTTAATACGATTTTATTTTTCCCGATTGTCATTTTTTTGCGATTGTCATTTTGCACTCTTACAGCCATGGTAGCACAAGAGTGGCGTTGTTTATTATTATCGTGTGCATGCTAGTGACGTTGCTAATAATTATTGTGTCCATTAGTTATTGCATCTTTTGATATGGCAGAAAGAAAGAAATGCAATACTGCAAGAATCAAGCAGCCAAAGTTGGAATACGAGGGATACCATTTCCATTATAATAAATCCTACAGAGATACGATGTGAGCAGATGTCTGAAACAGAGTGAAATTAATTAATTAAATAACTGGAATATAGGAAAATTGATTTTAAAAACAGCTTATAATTTAATGATATTTTAATTGTATATACTATCACACTTCTGAGTCACAGTATTAATTTTTGACAATTTATCTACATTTTTATTTAGATCATTATACCTATAGTTCTGTAACAGTTATTGAGAAGATAATTTTTTTCATTTACATAATAAGCATAGAAGTACATTGGATTGTATTCGATGCATTTCATTATGAATAATTTTCT